ATAAAATAGTTTGGATCAGTTCAGTAACTTATAACTAATTATAGTTTGTCTAGATAAGGTCACATCCCGAAATTGATTTGAAGTCATTGATTTATTGTGTCTCCAATGAGAGTAATAGGAAAAGAGTGTGAAGTTGATGACAGTAAAACACTAATACAACTTGATATTAGATTTTACCAGTAGTACACATCTACCAGGCTATGGAGCATGACAGACTGGTGAGACAAGACTCCAGCCTCCACAGTTAATCAGGGAGGGAGATATGCACACAAATTTCATTTGCACTCATATATATAACATTCCAAGCAAACAGGGGTAGTTACGCTAAATGGAAACGTAGATCTAATTTTCTCTAAATCTACTAGAATGTAGATTGTGCAAAATTTAACCCTCGCCATACAACCACTGCTTCATTATCTTCTAATATTGCCGTCGAAGACATACAGAAAAAAAAATCAATGCATATTCTGTCTTCAGATTGAAATTACCGCTATCTGGATTGAAATTATAAAAATTTCTCTACAGATTTTTTACGGTAATCAAATTAATATGAAATAGTTTTCAATTTGCAAACAAAGCTCCAGTAATTGCCAAGTTCTTGTTCTGTCGTTCTAATTGGGAAGCCAGATTGCATTCAAATTGGAATGAAGACTGATATGTTAGTAATGTAGGTCACCAAATTCTGGTACACACATCATTATTGTCATGACTGCAGGGACTTCCATGATTAACAGAACTAACTTCAGACCATAATTCTAGACCTTCAACAAAACATTCTAAGGTTAATTATCAGAAATTGCTAAGGATGCTTACATACATTTTGATACAAAATTTCAAAGATTTCTAAAGCATGTGATCAATTAGGACTGAATAATTTATGACTGTATCAACCTCATGAGCAAATTTGCTGACTTACACCCAATAAATATTGTGCTTAATAGAACGCAATTTGAATGCAAAAAAAAATTTCAGCTAGTTCTTCAGTTTCAGAGTGTATTGAAGTAGAGAGTTAAAGACTGTTTGATGTTGTATTTGAAATAATAATAAAGTAAAAATAATTTTTGGGTTTCTTGTAACCAATCTGTTGCTCCCAGAACTGTGAATGCACATATAGAGGCAGGTTTGATTACCAGGGGTAATTATTAGGTAAATTACATAGTGTTTCTGCTGTAAGTCAAGGAGTAACACATTTTTAACCTTGCTGAGTAAGGGGATTGGCTTATTAGATAAAATAAAATGTCAGATTTTATACGGCAGTAAAGCCAAGAGGTTCAACACTGAACCTCACAATAGAGGGTAGGATTATCAGATAAAACATTGTACCCTGTGATTATACTGCAGTATTCCAGGGTGTCCAACAATCAACCCCTAAAAAGGGAGTTTGGCTTGTTACAGGGCAATATCATGGTATTTGTTGGCAGTTACATGTCACTGGTTGGTGCCTTCAGTATTCAGAATGCATTGAAGAGATAACTTGTTAGTGGAAAAAAGGTCATGTCACTTTGTTATCACTATAAAATAACATAAGTGTCTTGATACTAAAAAAAATAATATGTGTTTACTTATTTATGAAAGAGACAACTATTTTCTATACTAACTAAAGTGTACTTTTTGATGTAATGATTCTGTGACCTGTTCATATTTTTGTTTGCACTGATGATATAAAATTAGGACTGTTTAGTGAAAAAAATGCTTATCATGAAATTGTTGAAAGTTTAATGCCAGAAGGACATTGTTTAATGTACCGGTAATATAGATAGAGTTTGGTATTTTTAGCTGTGACGAAATACTTTAGGTATTGTGGAACTGCTATCTATTAAGTGGAAGCCCTTGACATACTTGATGTGAAATGATAATGGAATGTAAATGATTGCTTATGTCTTTTTAAGCTTTTATAAATCTACATAGCTGGCCATGTGGTTTACTCAAAACCGTAAATCACCAAAAAACCAGTCATTTACAACAATATTCAGCATCATGGCAAGGTATCAAAAATATTCTTTAATAAACAAGTTATACCTCCACAGGGCCTGTTAACAATTTCTCTGCTATACATGTAAACACATTTTTACATTACCAGGGCCTGTGAAAAAAAATCCATAATAATAACACTTTGGCACTTGCTTCTATGAGGAAACCATTCCACGTTTGTTAAAGGCTCGTCCTGATACATCTGTATCTTCACATCGTTCTGAGATATGATAAGAGATCCATTCTCAAAGGAGTTAGAAGTAAAAAATGTATAGCCTTGGTTCCTATTGAAATAAATTTGAGTAATTTTAAAGGCACATGCATACCATTTTGTGATGTATATTTACCAGACATATTGGTTTGTCCTTTATCTTTATTTTATTGTTGAGTCTGTCCTGTAGAAACTGTTATATGTTAAAAAGGATACTTAAATCTGTCAAGATAAAAAAGATGAATGTGAGAGTTGGGCAGTATTACTTGCTGTCTGACATTTACAAGATGTAATCCCTAGGTATAGAGATATCATCACTGAATTAACTTTACACTGAAACTGTCTGGTGACTAAAGTCTTCAGCAACAGGTGGAAAAGGGGCCCAACAAGGGATAACTTTAAAGTTATCCTCAGGCCAACTGCTCTAGCTTATACAGTGTTGTAAAAGGGAATAACGGTGTTGAGTAACTTGCAGTTTCAGAAGTTTTTAGTAGGTGAGCTTTATGGATAATTTATGGTATTTTATCACACATGAATTTAGGAATGCAAAATAATATAAGATTGGGGCAAAAAAAGGGATATTTATTGAATAGCTTCAGTGAGGGATATATAAGGGGGGAAATAAGGGGTTACTTTACAATTGTTTCCATTAGTAACAAGGTCTTAAGTTGTGGATGAGATAATGGTAGATACAAGAGGTCCATGGGGCTGTTATTGCTCACCTGGTGATCAAAAGTTTAATTGTCATCAGTTTGTCTTACATAATTAAGAATCATTGTTTCAAATTTCTTTATACAAACTTTAAAACAATCATGCTAAAACCGTGGACTTGAAACATTATTCATTTTAAACAATTATTTCCACTGTCTTATTCAAACTATCTGGACATTTCAGTACAGAGGTATGCTTTTTGACCTTGAATATAGGTCAAGGTAACTTGTTTTCTTTTAAGGTGGTAACACTCGTACAATCCAGCTTCTGGAGAAACATGATTCTTGGGCTGTACATATCAAAGAATTATTTAGGGTGATATGACAAATGTGGCTGCTGTGACCTTATACATGTATACAAATCAAGGTAATTGCTTTTGTCCAAATTTATCTGGTATAAACCATGAAACATGCTGCCCAAATATCATAGTTCTAGATCTTTTGTTTCATCTGAAGAAGTTGTTTGAAAGTCTTAACAAATTTGACCTCTCTGGACTGGAATATGGGTCAAGGCCATTTCATTTTGCAAACTTAGTTAAATTTTATCCTTGAACATTCTGGCCTTGCATATTTCTTGATTTCAGGGCCTCTGGGTGATCAGAAGTCTTTGAGTATTTTATAGATTTTTACCCATATGATATGTATGATATTGGTCAAGGTTATATTTTTTCACAAATGTAGTTGAGCTTCATCCCCGAAATATTGCGGACATGTGAGCTAATTATTTAAGTTGAAACCTATGGATGACTTAAAGGTACAAGAAGGAAGTTATATGATTCAGAAATAAATATACCCGGTAAATATAGCTGCTGGATAGCAGTGAAGATACATCGGACGTATTAGAAATCAATGCTGTAGAGATGCTTGGTTGGTGCAGTGGTTGGGGAAAAATATGAAAAAAATGTATTATATTTTCTGGGCTATAAACCACACCTGAGTATATGATGCAGGACTGGTTTTTAGTAGGTTTTTGATTAAATCCACATATAAGAGGCACCAAAATATAAGCCCCTTTCTTTCTACGATGTGGTAGCCGTTATGTTGACCAAAGTTTGTTGATGTAACCGACAACGGAAGGCAATTTATCAAGATCGTCATTGAAACATTTTATATAAGTTTGCAAATGAATTATTCATCAATGATCCTTCATTTTATTGATGTGTTTCAAAAAAGTAAAATAGCAATTATCGAACTTGTTTTGCTTGGGAGCCTTCTATGCACAGATATAGGGCCTGACGTAATGTATGGTTTACTTGATATCTCCATCAGTGTCTGTACTGTTAAATATAAGCGAAGGCCCTTGCATGCTGACAAAATTTTTACAGTCACTTATTATTTCTTGTAAGTCACATGAAGCCATTCTTATCGTAAACAAGCATGGCAGTCGTTCCAGAATTTGATCTGATGACCTTTCAAGCCCAGGATGCAACATGCTATTGTAAACTTCTACTTTGGCTTCCAAAGCAATTACGAAAGTTCAGAAGATGTTATTGTGATTCATATTTAAGGGCTTGATTAATTAAATCCATGAGAACGTTATCTTTATTTCAATCTTAAAATCATCATGGTAGGAAATGACAGTTCTAGACATTCGGTTTCAGTCACAAACATGTGATAGACAGGTACTTGTACTCTTGCTGTTGTACTTGTATGCTTGTTTTTAATCACTATTTTATATCCTAACTTAAAGCGTGACATGTTACAACTAAAATTATCAAGGTGCTAGGTCACGCAGGTAAATAGTGCAGGTGACAAATTGGTTGTCCCAAAATAGATAACAGTCTGGAACTGATGTCCAGATGATATGTTCCATTTTTTATTTATTTTTTCATTCTGCTGGTTTTATTTTCGTCCAAATATAAGATGCACTGGTGTATAAGCTGCACTGGTATATAAGCCTCTCATCTGACTGCAGAGGAAAAAAGCAGTGACTGATAATCTGGAAAATACACTAACTTGTGTCCAATAAATATATATGTAGAATTAAGGGAGAGCTCTATTATATATAAATATCCCATATAAACAAATACTATGTTTAGCACATCACTGGTATACTAAAACAATATTAAGAATTCTGTAGTGATGTGAGGTTTTTATTGTTATTTCAGTACATTGGGAGCTTTTCTGTCCAAGGTGCTGATCAGAATGCCCGGGCAGAATGTGTCCAGACTCACTTAGAGGATATGAGGGTAAGTTAATAATAAGAGAATTTGTAGGATGCATGATCTAGAGCACGGAAGTACGGCATTTAAAACTTAATATGACGAGAGATTAAGTAACCTTGAATTACAGGTTTTAAAACTTGTAGTATTACAAGAGAGTAAGTGACTGAATTACAGGTTTTAAAACCAGTAGCATAACACAAGATTAAGTAACCTTAAATTACAGCTTGTAAAACTTGTAGGATTATAGGAGATTAAGTGACTCTGATCAATGGTAACAATTTTTGAAAACTTGTAATATGACAAGAGATTAAGTAAGTGAAGTATTACAAGAGAGTTAGTGACTCTGAATAACAACTTTTAAAAATTGTAGTATTATAAGGAATGAGTAATCTTGAAATACAGACATTGTAACTTCGTACAGTATTACAAGAGAGTAAGTGGCCTTGAATCATGACCTTAAATATGTGTAGTATTACAAGAGAGTAAGTGGCCTTGAATCATGACCTTAAATACGTGTAGTATTACAAGAGAGTAAGTGGCCTTGAATTATAACCTTAAATACGTGTAGTATTACAAGAGAGTAAGTGGCCTTGAATCATGACGTTTAACATGTGTAGTATTACAAGAGAGTAAGTGGCCTTGAATCATGACCTTAAATACGTGTAGTATTACAAGAGAGTAAGTGGCCTTGAATCATGACCTTAAATACGTGTAGTATTACAAGAGAGTAAGTGGCCTTGAATCATGACCTTAAGAGAGAGAGTAAGTGGCCTTGAATCATGACGTTTAACATGTGTAGTATTACAAGAGAGTAAGTGGCCTTGAATCATGACCTTAAATACGTGTAGTATTACAAGAGAGTAAGTGGCCTTGAATCATGACGTTTAACATGTGTAGTATTACAAGAGAGTAAGTGGCCTTGAATCATGACCTTTAACATGTGTAATATTACAAGAGAGTAAGTGGCCTTGAATCATGACCTTAAACACGTGTAGTATTACAAGAGAGTAAGTGGCCTTGAATCATGACCTTAAACACGTGTAGTATTACAAGAGAGTACCATGTCTGTGTCAGACTATTAATTAGAGTTTATGTAAACTTGATTTAATTTTACAGTAATTTTGAGTTATCAAACACTGACTTTGTCTCCAGTGTTTGGCTGGTGTTCACCTACTCTGGCTGTTGCAGGTTCTCATTGGTTTTACACTTAGAATTTCTTTAGATGATCTTTGAAGACATTTCTAAACTGTAGATTCTGAGTGTTGATAATGTAGAATCTAACCCCATCTTCCTTACACACACTAGAACACACACATAAAATTTCCGAAAACAGTAAAACCTTAAAACAATAAAACTGACTTAAAAGTGAGCAGGTGTAACTGTACCCTTCAAAGATCTCTGTGGATTTCACTGAAAAAGGACATCTTTATATACCATACTAAATATATTTCAAGTCTCTTTGGCCCTGTGACCTAGAAATCTACTTCAAAATGTCAGAATTCTTTTTTATTTTATATCAAAAATCTGTTCTACTCATTTTTGAGATGTAATAGGAGTTACCAGCAGACATGATAAATGTGACGCAGTGATGATATCCTGTCTTGTGGCTTGGGATCTGGAACCCTGCTATCAGTTCATCACAAAAACTATGTTGATTTTAGAGTGCATTCTTTATAGATAGGGCTTATTAGATTCACTGAGAAGACAGTGCATTCTGCTGGAGTTTATACATTGTCACGCAACTTTCTGTAGAATTGACCAAAAAAATATTAGGATTTTATCTGGTTCTATCTAATGTGTATTTTATGATCGCTGCGAGGCAAAAGATATGCAGCAACATTGAACTGTAGCTAGGGCATTGATAGGCCTGAAAGTTGATTTGAAATATTTGTAATCAATGCCATTGTGTATTGTGATGAGACCTGAAACATGATTGGTATGATTTATGATCAATATCTTTAGTATGTTTGTGATGTCATCAGACTTGGAAGCTAATCATGATTTGTGTACTTATTAATCAGCACCAATGCGTTTCAGTGGCCAGTTTACTTGGTTTCATAAATTCAACTCAATATTAATTGGCTATATCTTGATCTGCCAGAAACACTGGTATCAACTGACATTTCATTACCCTAATTAAATATAAATAGAATCTTAAAACTTTGAAAAAAGTGCCCAGAGATAATTTATATCATATAGTATGATTATAGGTGCCTTCAGTTGGTGTCCTTGTATTTTGAAGGATTGCAGACAGATACTTTGATCATAACAAGTTGGGGATTGTGTTTCTTAACATATTTAATATGCAATTAGCCATGAAACATATCTATTTTGCAATAAACCAAGAAACATACCTGTTTTGTAATAAGCCAAGGAACATATATTTGGCAATAAGCTATGAAACATATCTGTTTTGCAATAAGCCAAGAAACATATCTGTTTTGCAATGGGCCGTTAAACATATCTATTTTGCAATAAGCCATTAAACAGATCTATTTTGCAATAAGCCAAGAAACATATCTGTTTTGCAATGGGCCGTGAAGCAGATCTATTTTGCAATAAGTTAAGGAACATAACTATTTCGCAATAAGCCATGAAACATATCTGTTTTGCAATTAGCTAAGAAATATATTTATTTTTCAATAAGCCAAGGAACCTATCTATTTTGGCAGTAAACTAAGAAACATATTTATTTTGCAGTAAGCCCATACTTGATAATAAGCTGACCCACACCTTAGCGGAAAAGATATTGTCTTGTAATAAGCCCACCCCCTACTTTCAGTCAGATTTTAAGCGCATGCCTCTGAGCTTATGTTATGGTAAATTCGGCGAGGAGGAATGCTCCCTGTGATTCTACATACATATATTTCCAGTTTGTATTTTTGAAAGAGTTTCAGGAATGTAATCAATATGATCTTTGAACAATATACTTATATGTGAAACAGACTAAATAAGTCACGGAGACATCACACAACATCAAAAAAAAGTTTCCTCTGTGATAGTTTGACTGATAAAATAGTATTAAAACAGAGGCAATACATTTACATAAGACAAATGAAAAAAATCATTCCAGACAGAATGATCTTGTCTGTAGGTTGGTCCATAAGGATATATTGTGACACAAAAAGTAACACATGTTGATCGGTGATCAGATAGCAGTCACTTGGGTTTCCATCCAATCATCCATTAAATTTATATAAATAAAATTGCAGTAAAAGTCATTGGAGGTAATATCAGGTATTGTATGGAATCTCACAGAGGATTTACTTAAAACAGATACGAAATTGTGAAATTAAAAGATGAAAATGATTTCAATGCAGTTAAACTCAGGAAATGGTTCTACACATGATAAAAATACTTGACATTACTTGACATATATAGAATTTTGTATATTCCACTGTGATTTGTTTCTGTATTTACACTGTAATAGTTAACTACATTTTAGTTATCGATGGTGACAGTTTGGTGTTCAGTAGCCCTCCCTCTTCACCAGACAGTAAGATTATTCATACGATTGGGATCAGACAGAGAACACGTGATCTGGTACCAGGATACCATTGGGATCAGACAGAGAACACATGATCTGGTACCAGGATACCATTGGGATCAGACAGAGAACACATGATCTGACCAGGATACCATTGGGATCAGACAGAGAACACATGATCTGACCAGGATACCATTGGGATCAGACAGAGAACACATGATCTGACCAGGATACCATTGAGATTAGACAGAACACATGATCTGGTACCAGGATACCATTGGGATCAGACAGAGAACACATGATCTGACCACATGATCTGACCAGGATACCATTGGGATCAGACAGAGAACACATGATCTGGTACAAGGATACCATTGAGATTAGACAGAGAACACATGATCTGACCAGGATACGATTGGGATCAGACAGAGAACACGTGATCTGGTACCAGGATACCATTGGGATCAGACAGAGAACACATGATCTGACCAGGATACCATTGGGATCAGACAGAGAACACATGATCTGGTACAAGGATACCATTGAGATCAGACAGAGAACACATGATCTGATACCAGGATACCATTGAGATCAGACAGAGAACACATGATATGGTACCAGGATACCATTGGTATCAGACAGAGAACACATGATCTGACCAGGATACCATTGGGATCAGACAGAGAACACATGATCTGATACCAGGATACCATTGGGATCAGACAGAGAACACATGATCTGGTACCAGGATACCATTGGGATCAGACAGAGAACACATGATCTGGTACCAGGATACCATTGGGATCAGACAGAGAACACATGATCTGGTGCCAGGATACCATTGGGATCAGACAGAGAACACATGATCTGATACCAGGATACCATTGGGATTAGACAGAGAACACATGATCTGACCAGGATACCATTGGTATCAGACAGAACACATGATCTGACCAGGATACCATTGGGATCAGACAGAGAACACATGATCTGACCAGGATACCATTGGGATCAGACAGAGAACACATGATCTGACCAGGATACCATTGGGATCAGACAGAGAACACATGATCTGATACCAGGATACCATTGAGATCAGACAGAGAACACATGATCTGGTACCAGGATACCATTAGGATCAGACAGAGAACACATGATCTGACCAGGATACCATTGGGATCAGACAGAGAACACATGATCTGGTACAAGGATACCATTGAGATTAGACAGAGAACACATGATCTGACCAAGATACCATTGGGATCAGACTGAACACATGATCTGATACCAGGATACCATTGGGATCAGACAGAGAACACATGATCTGGTACCAGGATACCATTGGGATCAGACAGAGAACACATGATCTGGTACCAGGATACCATTGGGATCAGACAGAGAACACATGATCTGACCAGGATACCATTGGGATCAGACAGAGAACACATGATCTGGTACAAGGATACCATTGAGATTAGACAGAGAACACATGATCTGACCAAGATACCATTGGGATCAGACAGAACACATGATCTGA